ACTGTGATGACGTCACGTACGCGCTTTCGTCGAGCGCGCTTTAGTCTACCGCAGTTTTGTGGTGGAACCCACTAGTTCTATGGCAGCCTAGATATTTTGAAAAGATTTGGATTTTTTGGGTGGAACTTCCCATACGCTCCTTTTCCCCTCCATTCGAATGACTCACCTTGTGCAGGACTTCAAAACACTTCCGCTGACTAATACAGTCATCCCATCTTTCAGGCCACCGTAAATTGGACCACTAAAAGGAATAATCTGACCAGAAGTTAAAAGAAAAAACAAATCACCATTAAATGGAGAATCTGCTGCAGCTCAAAGACATTAATTCAACTGGTTCATGAATAAAATGCCTGGGAAATATAACATGTCTGCCTCTATCCTCCCCTGAAATACAGATGTGTGAAAAAGTCCTGCACCTTTCAGCTTTAAGCTGTATTTACATATTTAATCAAGTTTTCACTCATACAAACCACGCAAAATTAGTACTTCGATGAAAATTTCTATAGTCAGATTGAGATGCATATTTTTAATTAATATAACCAAAGTCTTTTGCTTCTCTTTTATTGAGTGAGTTTATGTGTTAAAACAATCACAACTTGAACTTTTGAGAATGTTAGGATCAAAAGAAATTTAATTTAGCTCTGGCTACAGGCAAGGATGAAGGCCTTTTCTTTCACCAGTACTGAGCAGGGGCATCGCATCATTGTGCTTCATAAAGAGGGTTACTCCTACACAGAAATAGTCAAGAGAGTGAAATGCCATCGCACCACAGTGAGCAGAGTGGTTGACAAATACCAAAAAACTGGTTCAATGGATGACAGGCTCTGCTCTGGAAGACCAAGAAAGTCGACAAAACGGCAAGATTGGGCTCTGCAACGCCTTTTGATGGCTGACAGGAAGCTCACCTCACCTCAGATTACAAGAATTTGGGGTGAAACATGTGATGTAAAAGTGTGCACAACAGAGGTGGGTTCCTACCAGTTCGCACCTATTCGGTAGAACCGGTTCGTCAAACCTACCGAACCGGTTAGAAGAGGTTCCACCAGTGGACCCGGA